CTCTCCCTCTCACAACCCAATCTTCTTCTTCTTCTTCTTCCTTGGCGTTGCCACCATCCCTCTCCACAATCTCCAAAAAACCCTCTCACAACCCAATCTTCTTCTTCTTCTTCTTCCTTGGCGTTGCCACCATCCCTCTCCACAATCTCCAAAAAACCCTCTCACAACCCAATCTTCTTCTGCTTCTTCTTCCTTGGCGTTGCCACCATCCCTCTCCACACTCTCCAAAAAACCCTCTCACAACCAAATCTTCTTCTTCTTCTTCTTTGCTTTCACCCCTCTCCACATCTTCTTCTTCTTCTTTCTTTTTCCCCCTCTCTCCACAATCTGCCACCAACCATTTCGGAAATACCTTTGCTAAACAAAACAAAAATACATAAATCAATAAGAAATCAAAATAATAATGAGAAAAGCATAATAATAAGAAAACTGAGAGAGGTGAGAGTTGAGAGTGAACGAAATTGCTCAGACTTGCAAAGAGAGATGAGAGAGTGGTGAGAGCTAAGCGAACGAAATGAGAGATGTAGGTTAACAGATCTTTTGATGGCAGTGGAAAATAAATTTTTATTAAGATCCGCTAACACTAACCCATAATCTTTACACTGATTACATTATTTAATATAAAAAACATCAAACCAAATATAATATATCATACCAGCGTTAAAGGCTCCTTCGATTTGATGATGGATTCACAAACCACTTCAAAGTAGATTGCACTCCCGGTATCCACACGAAGACAGGACTACCGTCGTTGAGAAACTTCTAGGCTAGGAAGATCACTCAACTATAGGAACTATTTTCTACAGAATTTTTCTTTGAGAGAAAAATACTTCTTCTCACAAAAAGGGTTGCGTTTTTTAGAGAGAGGTGGCTAGGGTTTCAATTTTGCAACTCAAATCACTTAATGATTTAATTTTTAGTTGCACTTAGATAGTGCACACTAAAATCCTATTCCGACTTGGAATAGCCATCTATTCCAATTGGAAAAGCAAACAACTTATTCCACAAAGGAATAGATTCCCCTTATAACCCAAACATGGCATTTCAATTCAAATTTAAAAACCAAAATTTGAATTTCATATTATCAATATTAATATTAGATAATATCCATTATATTTAAATTCAATTCAATTCAAATTTAAAAACCAAAATTTCATATTATCAATATTAATATTAGATAATATCCATTATATTTAAATTCAATTCAATTCAAATTTAAAAACCAATTTGAACTTTATATTATCAATATTAATGATAAATATTAATATTAGATAATATCCATTATATTTGAATTCAAATATATATACATATATATATAATCTCACTAATTTAATTTCCATATGAAATTAAATTTAGGCAATAACTTCAGCAAATTTAATTGCACTGTGAGATTACAAAAATGCCTTTTCATCATAAATGACAAAAATACCCCTCTCACGCATTATGTTCTTAATTAGTCTTTTATGTGTGCGACCCGAAGGCCCCTCTTCGTATCGATAGTGAATAGTATTGTGATTGACAATTAATCAATTATCTCACTCGACACAGACCAAGATTGGCCTCTAGCCAGGCATCATGGCGACCCAATAAATTTGGATTCAGTAAAACTGCTACCTATCAACGATATGTTTACTGTGCAGTTCAATCCTTTCATCATCTATTATCTCATCAATGTCGAGGCACAAAAGTAGTGTCAACCTCGGATATCCTTGATATCTCGATATTCGGTTATTGGACCAACGACCGCAATAAATTAGATTGAGCTACAACTCAGTCCCACTGTGGACACAGATTTAATGTTGTTGTCATCTACCGAATTACTCGGTGAGATAATTTCTCCCGTACCTAGGAGTGATGAATCCTCTATCAATCCACCATAGTCTCGATACACTTTTCAATGCAGCCAATTTCTACCGTTCTAATAGTCTTGAGAGGACTACATTGGGCTAGTGTCAAACTACACCAATCAGTGCACAAGGCGTTCCGATGATCTCAAGTCTAAGGATCTCAAGTCTAAGGATCACATGCACCGCCATTCGTTGGAGGACTTGTTTCACAGATAGTGGGGTAACCATCTATGTGGAATCCTTTGGTGGGACAATCTAGTGAACTTACCTACAGCAAACACCCATGTGTTATACTAGATTATCACCAAACAACCTTGACAAGTGAGATATGTCACTACCTTTCGATAGGGTCGTCCAAACACTATGATAGTCTTACCGTATTATCTATGCCCTAGGTCAGGATAACACTGGGGCTATGGACATTTCTAGGATGGCCATCATATGTACTCATAGGGTTCTCACTATTGAGATTTCAAACGCTCGATACCCTCATCACGGTCCTACCATCCTAAGGATATATACCATTTTCTTATACGAATATAATCAGATCACATGATATAGATAAATGTCTTTATTGTTAATAAAACATGATTACAAAGAGTAAATTTACAAAATAGGATTGGCTCTAGGGTACCTACTCTAGCAGCCACCCCTCTCCACAACTTCTTCGTCTTCTTCTTCGCCACCACCCCTCTTTACAACTTCTTCTTCTTCTTCTTCCCCTCTCTCTCTACAATCTGCCATCAATCATTTCAGAAATACCTTTGCCGAACAAAACAAAAATAAATAAATCAACAAGAAATCAACATAATAATAAGAAAACTGAGAGACAGGTGAGAGCTAAAAGTGAACGAAATGAGAGATACAAACCTGTAGTTCTAATTTACTTGCAGAGAAAGCTAAGAGAGAGGTGAGAGGTGAGAGTGAACGAAATTGCTCATACTTTTAGAGAGAGGTGAGAGGTGAGAGTGAACGAAATTGCTCAGACTTTTAGAGAGAGCTGAGAGCTTAGTGAACGGAGTGAGAGATGCAAACCTGTAGTTCTAATTTACTTACAGAGAGAGCTGAGAGCTGAGAATGAACGAAATAGCTTAGACTCGTAGAGAGAGCTGAGAGAGAGGTGAGAGTTGAGTGAACAAAATGAGAGATGCAAACCTAAAGTTCTAATCTTTTGTTTTTTTTTGGAAATGGTATTTAAAGGTTTGACCTTTGCACACTTTTTCCACCCCCTATCCCACCCTCCACCCAAAACCTAACAATGAAGATGAAAAGGCAATATTGTCAATGCATCGAAAATTAAAGGACTATAGTAGTATTGAAATGATGTGACTATATAGTAGATTGGGACTATGTATTAGTTATGTTGAGCCCAACTCTAAACCCAATAACCCCCCGCTCCATAATCTCCACAAACACTTCGCTTCCCTCTCACAACCCAATCTTCTTCTTCTTCTTTGCAGCCACCCCTCTCCACAACTTCTTCATCTTCTTCTTCGCTGCCACCCCTCTCCACAACTGCTTCTTCTTCTTTCTTTTTCCCCCTCTCTCCACAATCTGCCACCAATCATTTCAGAAATACCTTTGCCGAACAAAACAAAAATAAATAAATCAATAAGAAACCAACATAATAATAAGAAAACTGAGAGAGATGTGAGAGCTGAGAGTGAACGAAATGAGAGATGCAAACCTGTAGTTCTAATTTACTTTTAGAAAGAGCTGAGAGAGAGGTGAGAGCTCCAAGTGAACGAAATAGCCCAGACTTGCAGAGAGAGCTAAGAGAGAGATGAGAGTTGAGTGAACGAAATGAGAGATGCAAACCTGCAGTTCTATTTTTTATTTTTATTTTTAGAAATGTTATTTAAGGGTTTGACCTTTGCACACTTTTCCACCCCCTGTCCCACCCTCCACCCAAAAGCCAACAATGAAGATGAAAAGGCAATATTGTCAATGCATCGAAAATTGAAAGGCTACAGTAATATTGAAATGATGTGACAATGTTAATAAGGGTAGCCACAGGAACTCTTATCCGACTGGTAGTTTCAAGATTCCAATCCACATGCACATAAGTTGGTTTGAACACCCCCAGTCGTTAAAAAAAAAGTGTAATTTTGTTATTTTCTCAAATTAAGGTATGGTCAAAAGTTTTCAGGTGTTATGCCTAAAAAATCAGGGATGACATCAGCCTATGTCAGCAAGCACCAATCAATGTTCAAGGAGGTTTTGCGCCGTTCAGAAGCTGCCAGATCGCTCCATGACAAGAAGAATATGACTGTCATCGACTTGGTAGATCCAAGTTTTGTTTATGAGTGAATGAGAGCCGCACACTTGTCCAAGCCCCAGGTAATTTGAGGATATCTCCTAAGTTATTATCCAATGGGAGGCAAAGAAGGACTTGCACGACACCTACTCACTTGTAGATTTGTAATCATTACCTTGAATTTCTCTACTATAAATAGATGACTCCTTCGCTCATTTTCGGGATTCTGATATTGAACCCACATTCTGATTGTAATCTTTAACTTTCAGAGCAAAGATAACCTACGAGAAAAAGACTGACTTGATATTTTATCTGAATACTCAGTTATTGTACCTCTGCTCGTTGTTCGCTATATGCGACCTCTTATAATCTCTCATATATAAATTAACAGTGGATGTAGAATTTGCTTTAAGCATACGAACCACTTTAAAAACCATCTCTCATTTATTATTTAGTATTTGCATTCGATTATCGTAATCATTCACGTGTAATTTCTAAGAACAGCTTAGCATTTTGCACGTGCGAGTCGTTGATGTCAAAATCAAGCGTTAACATCGGGATTCTTCTAACTGTTTTTGTTTTAAACAAAAGATTTGCTTGTTAACCTTAAATGAAATGTGAAAGTTAATAAAATCATTTTAACTTAAACCGAATCAATTCAACAAAATTGAAAAAAATCAGAACAAAAAAACTTCTAAACTCCTTTGGTTCCGGTAAATAGGTTAATTTGAACCGCTTGCTTCTCTCAAGTCGTAAAATAATTCTAATCACTTCAAACAAACTCTGATCGTTAGATCATTTTCCCATCTCAATTCACATATCTCTTCCGAATATTCCCTGAAATGTGTCGTATTTGTTTTACCTTCGTTTAGACTCCAAAAAGACTAATATGTTATTGAAAAATCTGGTGATGAAATGAAACTCTTACAAGTGACAACAACCTTCCAACAAAACTATCTTCTTCATCCTGTGAACAAATTCAACACCCTTCAATCGTACTCAATCCTCCATTAGCGACCACCTCGACTCACGCAACAGGACTTGGAGAAGTTAAATTTCTGAGCTTTAGAAGGAAAACCCGTTTTAGAAAATGGGCCCTGATTCGTTGACTGCAACGAAGCCAATCCCACTACCAACACACGAAGACGATCGATTAAACCAATCCACATCTCTTCTCTCTTTCAACACCGACTCTTCTGAAGACTCTTCATCGAATACTTCTCAGAAACCAACTACAACAATTGTTTTTATTGCTCTCACGCTCGCTACTTGCGTTGCTCTCTCCGCAGCTGCCGCCTTCGGTTTTCTCTTCTTTTCCGCGTCTTCGTCCTCTTCCTCATCCTCTTCTTCTCTCAAATCCACTGCTCGTCCACTCAAAAAATTGGATAAACCGGTTGTTCTGTTGATTTCCTCAGATGGGTTTCGGTTCGGGTACCAATTCAAGACCGCAACTCCCAACATCCACCGTCTGATCAACTATGGAACTGAAGCTGAGACGGGCTTGATTCCGGTATTCCCTTCTTTGACTTTCCCCAATCATTATTCTATTGTCACTGGTCTTTATCCAGCTTTTCATGGGATTATTAATAACCATTTTGTCGACCCCGATTCTGGTGCCACCTTTACTATGGGTAGCCACGAGCCCAAGTGGTGGTTAGGTGAGCCACTTTGGGAGACTGTGGTCAATCATGGGTTAAAAGCTGCTACTTATTTTTGGCCTGGATCTGAGGTAAAGAAAGGATCTTGGACTTGTCCAAAAGGTTTCTGTATGGATTATAACGGTTCTGTGCCTTTTGAGGACAGAGTCGATACTGTTTTGAGTTATTTTGATTTGCCTAGTGCTGAAATACCTGTGTTTATGACTTTATATTTTGAGGATCCTGATCATCAGGGTCACCAAGTTGGCCCTGATGATCCACAGATAACGGAAGCTGTTGCTAGGATTGATAGTATGATTGGGAGGTTGATTGATGGTTTAGAGAAGAGAGGTGTTTTTGAGGATGTTACTATCATTATGGTCGGTGATCATGGAATGGTTGGCACATGTGATAAGAAGTTGATATTCTTAGATGATTTGGCTTCTTGGATTGAAATTCCAGCAGGGTGGGTTCAATCATATAGTCCATTGCTAGCAATTCGTCCACCTGGTGGTTATAATCCATCTGACATCGTTGCAAAGATGAATGAAGGTTTGAAGTCGGGGAAAGTGGATAATGGGAAGAATTTGAGAGTTTATCTTAAGGAGGAGCTGCCTAGTCGGCTGCATTATGCCGCTAGTGATAGGATTCCGCCAATAATAGGGTTGATTGAAGAGGGGTTCAAGGTGGAGCAGAAGAAGACAAACAGAAAAGAATGTGGAGGAGCACATGGGTATGACAATGCAATTTTCTCCATGAGGACCATCTTCATTGGCCATGGTCCACAGTTTGAAAGGGGAAAGAAGGTACCATCTTTTGAGAATGTTCAGATATATAATTTGGTTACTTCGATTCTCAAGATACAGGGTGCTGCCAACAATGGGTCTTCATCATTTCCCAAGTCTGTACTGTTGCCCACTACTTAATAAATTTAGTATTGTTCTTAGTTTCTGATTAGAGAATGATACTTCCTGTGCTTGTTTTGCATCTTAGTTGGTAAGTTGGTTTCGATTTAGTTGTCAGTAGGGATGTCTGCCGATTTTATTCCCTACGAAACTCAGTATATAAAGCTGAGGTAGTGAACATTATGTCAAGCAATGATACAGGAATTATGCTTTATTGCTAAGTGTACAGCTTGATTGCATATTTATAAAATTTTGCTTGATTTGTGTTAAAATTTAATATAGAATGTTAGTTGCAGTGCTACCTTGTGGATCAATCTTCATTATCAATTGAATCTAAAGTAACCTTGGAAATTAAATTAAGAGGGATTGAAAGTCTTGACAGAATGTGCCATCATTTTCTTTGTTGGTTGGACAACAAATGAAGAAAGTGATGTGGAAGCTCATCTCTTCTCGCCATTAAGTATGGACTGTAGAATCTAGAGTGGAGATAATATTTGGTAGTGCTTCAAGTGGGAAAAGCAACTCGTGCTAAATTCCATTCCACACGTGGTTAGATGCTTTGGCAAAATTGAGTCCACTAGTTCTATAAATAAAAATCTCTAGTTCTGCACTTATAATTATAATTAAAACCTTGTTTGACCCGTCTGGATTAGATTTTTTCTGGGTTTTTTCACATGTAAGATTGGAGATGTGGCTAATTCTCTTATTGGTGAAATCTGAAAAGGCAAATGGGAAAACTTAGCTTTCTTTAAATTGTTAGGTGGGAAGTGGCAGCTTCTAGCCATCTCAATTCTCCGACGTCTGGCTGGCTGGTAAATGGGAACAAGCTTTCAGCGTCTTTTATGTTTTGAATCTTCATTTGAAGAATTAAGTTATTCGCAGACAAAAATGAATTAGTCTTATAACTATGTATCTACATGGAAAGTGCATTTGACACTGATGTGCCTGTCAAGTACAAAACTGGCTGTTTGGCCGACATTGAATTTGCTTCAGTAAGTGTTTTTTTTTTTTTTTTTTTTTTTTTTTTTTTTTTTGTGAATTAGAGTTGTTCTAATATGTTTATTAAGAAATTAAAAAAAGGAAACTCCAGCTTCTGCCTTCTTGTTCAAGTTTCTCCATGTAAATGTATATAAGCTTTTCTATTATTTAATATTACATTATTTTCTTTTTAAGAGAAATCTAGCTAAGAAATTATATGGTTGGACCAAAATTATACCTAAAATACATAAAATTCTTCCGAGCCGTGAGTGCCATTTTCATCATTTCAAAAGGTGATAGAGAGCACTTTTCAAAATAACTTTTTTTTTTCTGAAATTTCAAAATAAGTCCTTAAAATAAGGTAAATTGGGCTAATTAAATAACTTTTTGAGGAATGTTTAATGAAATTTATAATATAAAGATATTATATAATCCGTTAAAATTATAAAAATTTATACAATTTATTAGCATTGAAAATATGATAATATAATAATAACAAAAGCATTATAAGAAAAAAAGAAAAAAAATATTGATGCAACCGAAAAAATTGGCAAAATAATGAAAGCGGAGATCCAAACAGGGCCTAAGAGAGGGTGGGTTTACCGGCCAACCGCTACAAACAGCTCAATAAATAAATAAAATAAAAAATGGGAGTATGTGGGCACTTGTTCTTCGTAGGATTTTATACAAATAATAATATCTGAATTGACAAACATAATCTCAATTCTCAAACTCAAAATTAGCAAGTTGAAACTCAAATTTTACAACTCAAAAACTCTCTGTCACTCTCCAACCCTTTTTGACCGTATGTAGTTTGAATCAATTTCTTTCTTTCTTCCTTTTCCTAGATTTTTCTTCTTTATTCTTTTTAAATATACATAATTCCAAGCCTCTGTTATTTTTTTATCAATCAATCTGTAAATGGCAGATGTTATTCGGGTATCTTCATTTCAGTCGCTTCGCTTTTCGTCTTCTTTGGTGCTGGGTTCCTTCGCCCCCACGTTGAATTCCCTCGCACCTAATAAGATTCTGGATAAGAAATTTTATCCCCTTGTTTGTTCTTCTGCTGCTGGTTTTTCTCGCATTTCTTTCACACCCAAGAAGAACTTTCTCTCTTTCAAGGTCATACCACTTGCCGTTTTAATCTAATGCTTGCTTATTATCTTTCTTTCCTTTTGGTAATTCATTAAGTCTGAAATTTTGAATACCCATTTGTTGGAATTACCTGTTTTTTTAGTGCAATATTGTTGGAATTTCTGTTTGCAGTTCAAAGCTTTATTAAATTTTTTTGGTCAAAAGGCTGTGTTTTTGTGAACTATGATTGAAATTAGGAGAACCCTTTTGTTGAAATTGTTTAACTAGTGGCTGTGTTGAAATTAGGAGTTTCATATGCTTTGGTGATTTTTATAAGATACTTTGATTGTCTCTAACACTCTTTGAATTGCGAGTTTTTAAAACTATTTCTTTTGTGCTTAGGGCTCGCATTAGGAGTTTCTGGAAAGCTTTATATAAATTTTATGATAATTGAGTGAGTTCAGGCATTCATTTATACTTGTTTTGGCCCATTTGTATGCAATTGGCAGTTTGCCAGTTATATTTACTTTTCCTTGAAACTTTAATTTTAGATGGTTCTTTTTTGTCAAATCTCCTTATGGTTGCGAAAATATGAAAGGCTTTTATATTTCCAATTTTCCTCCTTCTTGATTGGACACTGATTTGTCATTTTGTAACATAAATTTAGTTTACAGAATTATTCTCATGTTATTCTACCTTAAATCCCCTTGATATGTGTTCAATAAATATTTCCATGACAAACTTGTAGGAGTTGTGTAAAACGGTCCAGTAGTTGGTTAAGGCATGAAACCAGAAATATTTGTCCCTCACACAGTTCATAACATCTTTGTATAGTGTTCTTCCTTTTACTTTCTCCTCTTTATCAATTTTGTACGGATGCCCGTTGCTTGTTTTAAGAACTAGAATTTCTCTGAGGCTGGGTTTATTTGGAATCACTTGGAAGATTTTTTAGTTTCTTGCTATAAAGAATTAAGAGATGCACTTCAGTATGTCTAATTTCTTTCTGCCTTACTTTTTGTTTGGTCTTTGCAATTGGATTTAGAGCATGAGCCCTTTAAATTTTTTTTTTTTTTTTTGTTTTTTTTTTTGTTTTACTTGTTTCTGAAATGCTTTCATGTTTTCAGAGTTTTTCTTTTCTGTTTTTTTTCTTCTAAGTGTTTAGTGCGTGACAGATGAAGAAGAAGAAGTGTTTTGCATCTTGCTTCTGTCTGGCCTAAACTTTTGCTTTTGTAGAACAAAATTTTTGGATAATGATAATAACTGAAACAGTTAACACTGTTTTATGTTAAAATAAAAAAACCTTAGTTATTAGAGGGGAGAATTAGAGGATATTGCATTCTCAAGCATCAACTATGTATGTATTTTGGTATTGGAATCTCTTAGCTTCTACAATGTCTCAGTCAAGCTCACTTGATAGAGTTATTGTAACAATATATCTCTTTTGATGGAAAATTGTTTCATCTTTCAATAATATTTGAAGACCCACCCTACTCATCTAATGGTTATTTTCAATTGATAACAATTAAACTGTGGCTTGTCAGTTTACTGATATCAAAATGTCTCTGTATAAGGTGTTCACCTCTCTTGAGGGTTTTAGTTCTCATATTGGTTGAGTGGTTCACTTTTACTACAAACTCTATTGTTTTTTTTATCAAAAGAGTTTAGTGATATTGAAATGTAGTGTGAATCTGCTCCAATATCTTTGTACTTTGTGAAGAAATTTTGTTGTATGTATTCTGTATTGTTGGACTATGCCAATTATTTGATTTTTCTTTTTCTCATGTTTCTTTCCTAAGTTTTGGTTGCTTCACTTTAGGTCCATGCAACTGTTGCTCAGACTGACCAGCCAAAATGGTGGGAAAAGAATGCTCCAAATATGATTGACATTCATTCTACTCAAGAGTTTTTGGGTGCATTAAGTCAAGCTGGAGATAAATTAGTCATTGTTGAATTTTATGGAACCTGGTGTGCATCTTGCCGAGCATTATTTCCAAAGGTAACACCCTATTTGTTACTTGACCATCTGTTCTGGTTGTAGCACTTGTAATAACAAATTTTAGAACCATATACACTGCCAGCATTAACAAAATTATTGTCTTGAAGCCCTTTGGTTAAGATTACCGCTTTCAATTATAGTTAATAGAGTGGTTAATGGGGCACAGGTTTTATGCTATTAAGGGCATTACAATGTTAGTTTTTCATTGGACTCAAAACTGAATAGCCTATGATGACACATATTATGGATTTTTTTTTGTGAGACTGCCATCTAATACTGGAGACTAGCACCAGGGCTTAGGTCTTTTTCTTTAAGTCATCTGTTTGTTACTTTTGTGCAAGAGATGAGTGGTCTGTTGCATCTGTGACTGACTTTATTTACATTGATCTTATGAGCATAACTGTGATGTCTGTGTATATGCAGTTATTGTCTGTATTAAGATGCTATCCATTATGTAATGGACTGCTCTAGTTTTCTTGTAGACAGTAATGCTGCTAAAGATGATTTTAATGAGAAAAAAAAAAAATTTGTTAGTTTTCCATAGGTTAATCATATGATGTGACTTCACCTTAAAAGATGCCAACTAAATGAATCCTTCAAAAAGATACATGTAGTGCTTTCCAGATAGTAATTTATGAACTTAAATAATTGATATATTTACATTATCGCTTAAACTACTGTGCAATAATTGTGATTATTTTCTCTTGTAAAAAATTGTCAGCTTTGCAGGACAGCTGAGGACCACCCGGAAATCTTATTCCTGAAAGTCAATTTTGATGAGAACAAGCCAATGTGCAAAAGTTTGAATGTGAAGGTTCTTCCTTATTTTCACTTTTATCGAGGAGCCCACGGACAGCTGGAATCGTTTTCATGTTCACTTGCTAAAGTGAGCGTTTTATCATCTCCATTCTTTTCTAATATAAGCACAAGCTTCCTTTTTCACTGTTTGGTATTAAACCTAGAAAAGATTATTCAGTAGTCGATTGCCAGAAAGCTTAAATAGCAATTTTGAACGAGGAAAGAACTGTATTTAAAATTTCTCCTTCCTGTTCACTCAAGAAGAATTATATTCTACAATTGTGAGGCTGAGGGCAAGATAAGGTCGGATAGTAGCTTGCATGATTGAATGAGTTTATGATCTGAAACATTTTTTCACGACCTTATAGTGAATCACGAGCTCTGATTGGTTAATAACTTGTGATAATGTAAAAAACAAATATGAAAAGGCAAGGTGTATGAAAGTTAGTACATAGCATCTAGATGCGATTTAATGACTCTTGTCATTGTCTTTAGACTTTTACGTGATTTACTGGTAGAATGATGATCAATTTTCTTGTGCCTACTGAGAATGATATATGTAGAAGATGTCATATGAATTCTGGATCTTATCATTTTTCTTGTGCAACGGTATTTATATACATCGAAGAAGTTGTATGAATATCTGATACTTTTATGTTTGTGTCTAATATATCTGTTCTCAAACCTACCTACAGTTTCAAAAAATAAAAGATGCCATCCAACAGCACAACACGGCTCGATGCAGCATTGGTCCGGCCAAGGGAGTCGGAGATCTAAGTCTTGAAGCTATTTCCTCTCCAATAGACAAGCCAGCTGGATCAAATTAAGCAAAGGATTTAAGAATTAAGCATTAAGCATTAATTTATAAATACGTGATAGTGTTACCATGTATGTGGCTTACTGGTATTTCTGTATATTGGCATTTTTCTTTTCTCTGTAAAAGAACTGCAGAAGATTACTGTCGGCTTCGGGCTTCATTCTTTGTCATTCTTGGCCTAGTTGTGATATATATTTAAGTTAAAAATACTGGAGTGGAAATGAATTTTCGTGTTCTGAATATTTTTTCTTTTCAAGTAAATTGTTTGTTCATTGTTTGCTGGACTAAAGGGTTACTCAAAACATGAAACTCTGCAGTATAGCCCCCAGATTTGGAAGAATGTCATCAACCCATTTTTTTCCCCATCAAATCTTAACCTAATTGGTTTCTGATTGAAAATACTTTAAAAAATTAATTTTTATATTATAAAAATCTGAGGTATATCAATATTTTAAATATTTAAAACATGTTTGATATGAAAGATATTTTATTAAAAATTTGAGAAAATGATATCTTTTTATTTTACATTAATTTATAGTTGTATCTAAAATTGTTCTTAAAATATCTAGTCTCCAATGTTTTCAAAGATGAGGAACTCTATGTAAATTGTATATTAAATAAGTCCTTTAATATCTGAATTTTCTTTTCTTCGGTTAATTTTCATGAATAAAACAGTAATATTTAGTGTTTACTTATTATCAGTATAGAAACTAAAGATTACTTAAATATCAAATGTGACATTATTCAAATTCAAAAGCCCTTAAACCAAAAATCATTTACTAAATATAAATAAATAAAAAATATAAATATCACATGCTTATAAGAAAAAGCAGCAGAGCAGTTATTTTGCGTCTCTCCCTCCGCCTAAATCCGTCGGGCATAAACACTGTATCTGACGTGCCACCGCCGGTGAAGTGGGGATATAGAATTGAAAATGGCGAGCTATCTATGGAGGAAATACGCAGATTATTTGTACACAAAGTGGGAAAGAACACTTCTTTGGGACATGATAGAGCCGTACAGGAGACCAAAATCTTTTAAACCTCTTGTCACCATCTATGTTGCCGCTTTCTACACTGGTGTCATCGCCTCTGCCATTACTGAGCAACTCTACAAGGTATTTCATCTTTCAATTGCTTGAATTTATCGTTTATTATAGGGTTTTTTTTTTTTTTTTTTTTTTTTATAGCTTCCAGTTGTTAAAGTTCAGAGCTTTTTCATCAGTTTTAATAACTGTGTATGCACTTTTTCACCGGAAGCATTACACTCTCACACAAAGTACTTGACTTTCTTCAGTAATTAGCTGTGAAACTTGGACTGCCTCTCTCTCTGCCAACTTAATTTTGGAATTTCAAGCATTATCAATGTAATGGCTCAAATCCACTGCTTCCTTTATTTAGGTTTTTAGGTCATCCTATTTCACCAAGTTACTGGTGGCACAGGGATCATAATCTGTACCAACTCTATTGTAGATTATATGCCACTCCTCTTTTTACCCTTTTATGTATTCTTAACAAAAATTTCCATCATATCATTTTTTTTTGTTATTTCTATTTATTCATTATTGATATCATCACTCAAATGACAATGGTTTTTTACATTTCATCTTGATTAGTATTCACATTTTCTTTGATTAGAGATGTCAAATTATTTACCTATTATCACATGAACTTCCAAGTAGATTCTACTAAAACCACATACCCATCTTTGTTAGTCCTCCTTTATTGAGCCCTGTTAGCTCCCGTTTGAATCATCAATTTGTCAAATCATTTTTCCAACTCTCAAGAGTTCTATTACCAATGTTTTTAATTGATATTTGTGAGGATGATGCTGTATAGGTAAGTTCTTTGTTATATTTATTGATAATTTTAATTGCATGCTTGTTGGCTAGGCGCCTAGGCATATATATATTTCTTAAGTATGGTAAAATGATTAGCAAATTAAAATTTATATCTTTGTCAATATCTTAGATGCCCCATATATGTTTCTAGAAACCATTCTCATTGAAATTGTTAGGCTTGATCTTTTAGTACTATTTCAAGGACAACTTTTCAATAGGATGGCGTTTAAGTATGAACTTTTAAATGCTAGTGGTATCAGGCATTACTACTGGAAACTTATGAATTTTAGAGATCTCTGAGTAGGTTAATTTTGGAGTGTATGATAGAGAAATCTGGAGAGCACATCCTAGAAATTTAAGCCTATGTTTGTTCTTATATTTTTCAACTTTTTGATATAAGTAATTCAACTCTGAAATTTTTAGGGTGTTTAATACAGATATAGACTTTGCACTATGTAAAATCTTGTGAGGTTTGGAGGTCATTTAAAGTACTCAGGGAAGTTGTTAAGATAGATGTAAATCACAAAATTTGGTCCGACAAATCTGACATTCACACTGGGCTTAGTGTAACGAATCCCACATCGAAAGCGTATTGGGGAGGTCTTGGGCTTATAAATGGGAGGAGTCCCTCCACCTAATAGGTTAGTCTTTTGGGTGTGAAACTTCAAGCTCGTGACAAGTGGTAACAGAGCAGACAGATCTGTCTTTTGGTGTCCCGCCAAGCACCCACGCCGGGACATCCTCATGTGATTGTGGGTCCACACAAGAGTGAGATGGATGGGTAGGTAGGGGCCTCACCTGTACGAGGACGTCACAAGATTGGGTGAGGGAGAATGTAACGAATCCCATATTGAAAGCGTATCGGGGAGGTCCTGGGCATATAAATGGGAGGAGTTTCTCCACCTAATAGGTTAGCCTTTTGGGTGTGAAACTCCCAGCTCGTGACACTAGGCCGTAGATGTAATGGAACACCTTTCCTTTTTTTCCAAGGGCAGCTGATGTGTTTCAACTAACCAACTGACTTGCCTCTGCTGACATGTAGACCTAGCAAAACGGGTGGGTGGACCGGGTGCGGGTCTTTATACGGGTCGATATATACGGGTCCAATATTTTGGACCCGTGCCCTACCCTATACGGGTACGGGTGGACCCGCGGGTGGGCCCGTTTTTTCCCTACATGAAAACCATTACCTGTACTTCCCAAAAACAAAATAACAAAAAATAAAAATAAAAAACACCACCAAACGCACATACAATCCTCAAATTCACAGAAACAAAGCATGATTACATCAAAATTTCTCCAACAAATTAATCTCCTTTCTCCTCTTTCAATCGTTAAACGCCACAAAAACGGATCAAAACAATAACACAAACATTTCCCACAAAGGCATAAACTTTCAAAACAATTAAGCATNGACTTTGCACTATGTAAAATCTTGTGAGGTTTGGAGGTCATTTAAAGTACTTAGGGAAGTTGTTAAGATAGATGTAAATCACAAAATTTGGTCCGACAAATCTGACATTCACACTGGGCCTAGGCCGCAGATGTAATGGAACACCTTTCCTTTTTTTCCAAGGGCAGCTGCTGTGTTTCAACTAACCAACTGACTTGCCTCTGCTGACATTGTGGATGAGAACCCATGATTTGATCTACTAGCTTGAAAACCTGGATCATGCCAAGAAGCATTTGAATCACTTGAATTATTGTTCATATTGCGATGAACCATAATTTGGATGTAGGCCTAGCTACAGATCTGTTCCTTCATTAGGGGTGTCATTCCCTCCCATCTGCTGCCCTCCCATCTGCTGGGCAGTTGGGATATTCTTATCCAGGTTAAACCAATCAATTTGAAACTAGCTGGCCTAGGGAGAGACAGAAGCATAAGGAGTCTTTGTGCCCCTTTTCTTTAAACTCTATGCAGAAGACCTCTGAAAAAGACCAGATGGGAACTAGTTCACCCCTATTAACTGATAAATGTGATTTTAATAACATATTGAATATGAAGAGATAAATTACAAAAGTTTTATATTGAGCAGTAAACACGTGAAGCAATTACTCTGTAATATTTTGAGGCCATTTGGATTGTTAGAATATGTGGAATGATTGGATATAATTTTGTTAGTGTGTGTTGATAAGCTTGACCGTAGACTGATTAAAAATTCATGGCTATAAGAATATGATGGATGAAGTGACAAAATTTAGTCGGAAACTAGCATATTCATGAATCTTCATTTGATTTGGAAAAAGGCTGAGAATTGTACTCTCCCCAAGAGCTCCAAAAGTCATGTAATTTACCTCAATGTAAGATTCGTAAGTGAACTAGTTCATCACTAAATTTTGTGATTTTATCTATCATATTCTTATAATTACCAAGTTTAATCAGACTAAAGTGGAACATCAGTAGGATTTATTAAGAACATAGCAAGTGTCTAATACATGTAAATTGGCTAAATTGGGCCTTTATTTTGATGGTCGCTTATCTCAGGGCCGCAATTTGAGGCTCTGATCTGAGAATTTCGCTTCTTGTGTTGAGCAGGAAAAGTACTGGGAAGATCACCCTGGGGAAGCAGTGCCACTCATGAAACCGAAATTCTATGGCGGACCCTGGAAGGTGTACAAAGGGGATACTCTGCCGGAAAATCTGTGAGAACCATTACAACCAGCTTGTGACCTGTGCTAAAGTTTCTTCCTTGTATCTCGTGAGTCATGTTTTTTGTATAAAGTTGAGACTTTTGATGGAATCTAGCAAAACTAATATTCCGTCTAGTGTGAGAAATGATCAAAGTAAACCTTGAGGTGATGATGCTGCATAATTTTACATTGTTGAAAGAGCAGCCCACACCAGGAAAAAAAAAAAAAAAGAAGTCCCAATAGTATCAATGTGATGTTGGATTTGATTTGTAGTTTTATACTACAGAAACCTTGGTGTCTCGCAATATGATTAAATCTTAAATACTCCTTAACACCTCTGTTTTGCTTAATCTATAACTCAGTTTTGCCCGTTTGTTGGAACTCGGTTTCATCAATTTCACTTACTGTATATGAGATTCTTGGAATGATAGATTACGGCTATTAATTACCGGATTATGCTTCTTGCAAAATAATCTGGAATGGGATGGGCATAACCTGGTGAACATCATTAGCTCTTGCATGCCGAAGCGAAACTGTAATGACTAATCAGTAATAAATAACCATTTAAAATTAATAATTTATTATAATTTTTTTATGAATCTACAGAACTCTTAAGAAAGATTATTAGTACACTGCTAGCCGGAATTACAATGTTGGAATTGAAGACTTTCTTATAGAATCCCTGAATTTAAGTTGTATGGGGGGTCTTATTTTGTTCCAACTTCAACATGGATGATTTGACCATTAGAAACCACTATGTTACGTAATCCTGATCTTTTAATGTTTTTAAGGCAGATTCTAGTTTTTTTTGGATTAATGTCCTCAATCTACCCATTCATCAATCACCGTCTCGAACTCAGTCAACAGTTACTTGATCAATCATCAATCTGTTATCTAACTAATTGCCATGTAATAATAATATCACTCTTACTACAGAAAATAAACGTATAAATTAGAAATAAGTATGGTGCACATCAACAACTCTCTTTCTAATTCTTGAAATCCATACTTTTTACACGTTCTTCTCTCCCCTCCTCTTTAGCATTGCTTCTCTAATCCCTCTCTGTTTCTGCATCTGCCTGTATATGGTCATGCTCTTCGGGGCTTGTTCATCATCGGAAAATGACAACTTATGGAACAATCCCGACAGAATCATTGGCGTCTTCGACCCTCCCTATTTTTATACGTGCGAAACAACATATCCATTCAACCTTTAGCACCAGAAGACCATGGAAGGAGATGATACCTCCTCATTCTTTAAACACCCCCACCTCATTTGGTAACTTCCTCGATAGAGCCAGAACAAATGCAGCTATTTTTCGCATGAATTATGCCATTATCGTGCTGTTCATCCTATTTGTTAGCTTGCTTTGGCATCCCATTTCCCTGATCGCTTATATTCTTATGATCGTTGCATGGTTGTTCCTATATTTCTTACGCGATGACCCATTAACAGTTCTGGGGTACATGGTTGATGATTGTTTGGTGCTGATAGGTTTGTCGCTGGCAACATTTGCTGTTCTTTTTCTAACAAATGTAACCAATAATATTATCGGTGGACTCTCTATAGGGATGGTTGTGATTTTGGTTCATGGTATATTGAGAAATCCTGATGATCTCTTCTTTGTAGATGATGATGATCAACAAGGTAGATCCACTGCATTGTTCAATAGTGAACATATTAAATCTCATGCTGCCTCTTCATCTTTTTATTCCTCCTAGATCTTCTAGTTAACTTTTTCATGCTTGTGAATGTCATCCTGTTGACAACTTGTTTTCTATTCTGAATCATAAATCTTTTTTTTTTTTTTTTTTTTTTTTTTTAGATTTCTTTGAGCAATATAGCTAATTTCTTTGTTGGTTTTCAGATTCTATTTTGTTGCCTAATTGCTCTGTTCCTGACCTCTGTACATGGTTGGTGGAATTTTGCAGTAAAGAAAAAATAATAATGATAAGTCAATATTTGTTAATTGTGTCTTTGACATTAAAGTTAACAAGAATTTATGTTGTGGAACTTGTGTGCACCAAGCTGTTGGCATTTTTTTAAACATGTTCTAATTTACAGTAGGCTGACATGATTAAAAGGGCTAAATTCCATGTTACTTTTTAGGTAATTATAATGTGTTTTCTTGTATATTCTTTAATATTTATTATGACTACTGGCTTTAGATGTCAACATTCTAAAAATTGAAATGATCTTTGAAGGGTTTTATCGGCAAAATACTTTTAGTATGTTTCTCGTGTCTGGTTCACTGTTTCTTTGGAATAGAGAACATGTCCCTTTTTCATGTTCATTACAAGCTAGACCATTATCAGTTTATCAGAATCAATCACTGTCTGAATGAACCCTCTAGGCAGCGCTTTAAATTTATTAAATTTCTGCCGAGACACCATACGGGCACAAAGCAGTGAGCATTGTCTTTGAATTGCATTGTATTATCGGTTTCAGGCTCCCAACATGGCCAATTGGTTTACTTTTATTCTTTCTATTGTCCATTAATACAAGCTGCATCTTTTATATCCTCTTGAGAATTTATGCTTCTTGTATGTCATAGCAGAGTATAGATTCCACTTCAAACGCAAGTAGCATCGAGCTGCATCAATCTCAGCTATAAACATTCTTTCCATCAAGTCTTACTGTTAGACATCAGTACATTGCTCTGCTTTAATTACAAATGACACAGAGAGTTGTAAATATCAAGCATAAGTTTGATGAATTTCACCCTATACATGTTGCATTATTTCTTAACAAAGCCCACAAACATTGACAACGACCTTGCAGACATGATATAAACAACGTTAAAACTCTGTCTTTTCGCCTTTAATGTCTTGCCACTTTAAGTTTTACCAATGCACTTTGGGAGGTTAAAATCAAAGGCAAGTAATTGACTTTGTGTTGATGATGACAATGTCTTGAAGAAAAGTTGAACAGATTGGAACTCCGCCGCAGCATTAATGCCTATCCTAGGGGCTGCCAACTGCATGTACCAAACCAAATTTCGGAAAACAACAGGAAACCGCACCTGCTTTTCATTGTACTTTACATATCACATTAGCATTAAGCGATTGACAGTCAAATTTCAATGTGATTAACAACTGTAGTGTAGAAGAAGAGATATAATGATTTTATTCATTAATCCATCATCCAGCCATGCTTCAATTGGACATGAGTGGATTACCATAAAAATTAATTACAAATACAGGGAGTCATCAAAATGAAGCCCTTTTACAATGAAAAACTTTGAACTGACACTTAGGCGAAATCACCTGCAAAAGCAATCTGGCGGTGTGTTCTTGCCTCACAACTGCGCCCTCTTTCTCCACCAACACCGCATCCACAATCCTCTCATACCCACCACCGTTTCCACTCGCCACGTAAGCCACCAACGCCGCCTGTACAGGACCCAAGCTTGGATTATACGCGGCGGACTCCATATAAGACCCTTTATAAACCTTTCCTTCAGAATCCATAATCGCAACCCCAGATGGGCACTTACTGTAGGGCGCATGAGACTTATTCGCAGCCTCTAAAGCTGCAAACTTTAAACTCTCCGACGCCTCACCGTTACAACACTTGTCATAACCACCATCGTCATCGTTATCACTCACAAAAGACAAGCCGTTCTGGTGAGTTTCCAAGATCAAAGGAACATCCTTTTCCAACAGGTCATCAGGACCGAACCTGTCAGGCAGAAAATGCGACAACGTGTAATAATTACATCCATGATCTTCCTGTTGTTGTTTTGTGTTCTCATCGGATGACGTCACGCAGATTTTGATATCAGAAGAGTTCCGGATTTCCTGCAAGAATTGGCGGCAATGACCGCAGGGGGCGGAGGAGACGGCGAAGCATTGGAGGCGGGGCTCCGCATTGAGGATGAGGTTGGTGACGAGGAACTGCTCGGCGTGGACAGAGTGATGGAGAGGGAGACCAGGGAATTCGATGTTGCCGCCGAAGAAGATCCGACCCGAAGAGCCGAGTCCGACCGCCCCCACGTGGTAGTTAGAAATGGGCGGGCGGGCAAGAGTTTTGGCGGATTTGACTAAGGTAGGGAGAAGTTGGTGGATTGTGAGGCCCGATTTTTGAGCGAATGATTCGGCTTCGGCGGCCTCGATCACGAATCTGGGTCGATCCATTTGGACAGGAAGAAGAAGAGGAGGATGATGATAGGTTTGGAGAAGAGTGTTCCTGGAAATGAGGAGGGAGTAGAGATAGAGGAAGAACTAAGTAGTGAGTTGGAATTATTTATAGGAAAAATTTGGTTTTGGTATTGAAAGACCCTTGAAATTAGGAATACTAAAACAATTTAATTGAACAAAAATAGGAATGATTCTGTTGGGGAAGTATCAATCAGAGACAGCTTAATAATTGATTAAATAATACAAGAAGAGTTGTTATGGAGGATTAGAAAATGAAATTGAGTCAAAAGACAAAAGGATTAGTTGAGTGAAAGGATAAACTTATTATTATTAGCATGAATGAGATAGTGATTGAGAAATAGCAGGAAAGTATGGATGTGGGTTTCCTCCTATTTTTATCTTTTGCATGTCAACATTCACCATGTGAGATCCAAACAAATTAAAGTATCATAAATTCATAAACAAACATTTTCCCCTTAAGCTTTTCTCTTGTTTTATAAAATATCATATGATGATGCTATACTTCTTTTCTTTCTTACTCTTTATGGCACTGCTACACCAATTTCTTTCTCTTCATACCCTTCTAAGAAATTGGTTTTCTCTTTCAATGCTTTAAACTACTTTTTTTCTCTTTCTTTTACTTTACTTTAAAGAGAAAAGCACTTCCAAAGAGTATATTTTGACCATTCGTCTAAGCCCTCATACACTCCAGGAAAATTTACAGGCAATGATATACTTATGGAAGATACTAACTCATGGGGTTTCAATATGATGGGATAAATGAACCCTAATAAATTGACCTGGCGGCAACAAGATTTGCTCAATAACATTGTGGTTTATTTGGTTTTTTAAGTTTGTAGAGTGTTTAATGAATCTCGAAAATTAATTAAAGTGTACGCAAGTTAGCTTAGACATTCCGGTTACCAAAAAAAAAAAATGATGGGTAAATAGTATATCCAAACATATGGTTTGAAATTGCGATGCCTTGAGCTACACAAAGTGGTTTTAAAAGGGAAAATGGGACCTTGAGTAGTGCATGGGTTGTTGATGGATTGAAAACTTTTCATCACTACTTCCACAAGCAACCAAACTAAACCATATACCAAAAACAATTAATATTCTTGTGCCAACTTATCTTGATCATTCATGACATTGGATTCACAATCACAATAATTTATTTTATTTTTATACATACTGTTATGTCGATACTGCTTCTTCATCACTTATTTTGGACCATTGCTTAATTGTCCACTTCTTTACCTACCAATCTATACAATCTTTTGGTTTGGTACCAAAATTATTACATCAAACATCTTACTCTTTGTTTTATTTTGTCATCTTTACATTATTAATATCACATCCTATGCTTTGATAAAGGTTTGTTTATGCATGCCCTCATCATCATACTTGATATGTGATGTACTCTAATTGGTTCAATTCCTTGTGGATGAGGGAATAACTTAATATGTTCAATCTCTTACTGGAAAACAACATTTTATTTAAGTCTCTGTACACAGGAGGGTGGAATGAATGTTTAGATAAAAGAAATTGTCAATAGAGATGTGTTAGGTTGAAACACGTCCGTTTGGAATGATATACATAACAAAATATAATAAACACATGGTTTGAATGACAAAAGGGTTATTTGGACTCACCTTTGGATAACTTAAATGGTAGGACGAGCGTTGGGATGTGTGATTAAGATACACGGTTTTAGGTTTGAATCCTCTAACCCCCAAAATTTAAGTGATCATCTCCAGCATATGAAAAGTGTGATATAGACTAAAGTTCATTGTCCAACACTAGGTAAAGATTTGGATTTGGACCAAAAGTGGATATAAAGTTTTAGATTTGATCTTGAGTGGTTGTTACCAAAATGATCACTACTTATGTTGGCTGATGCGCGATTCAATGGATTCATCCCATTTTGGACCAAATCAATATGAATATATAGAGCCCAGAATCAGATTATGCATAAAGGATTCCTATTTCCTACCAAAAACTATCCTCCTGTAACAACACCCCTTTTACCTTAGGAGGAGTTTGGTCCGGGGTTATCCCATTAATGAGGTAATGTCATCTTATATTATTTAAATTATCACGTTTGGTTGTTAAGTAATATAAAATTTCGATAATCTTTCAAAATCAATAAAAAAATTTTTAAGTATTTTAAGATTATTTAATAATCATAATTTTGTTACAATTTAACCCTTAACTATTGAATTTTTTGATAATAATGCCCTTGTTTTGAAAACAATTTACCAAAATATTCATGGACTATTTTATTCTTATATACAAAATTTTTAAGACATAAATACCCTTAAACTTGAAAAAAAATTACCCAAAACTGATGGCTAGATTTGGCCACCACCGCCGGCCGTCGGCTATTCCAACTACTGTCGTCACAATCGGCAGTGACTTGGGTTAGATGGGGGTGATTTTGTTAAAAATTAAACTTTTATGTAATTGAGGTGTTTTAACAAAATCTAAAATATAAGGAGTTAAATGAATGATTCAAAAAATAATAATAAAAAAATATTATATTAATATTTAAAACAGGATGCAATTTATTAATCTAAATAACATACTCATCAATTTATTCCTCACAATCAAACGTATCAATATAGCATACCTATTAATTTATTTCAATCTAACCAAATACATTTTCTTAAATATTTTCAGTAATCTCCAAGATAATTTATTTTTCTATTAATCTTTTTAACATTCTTAATAATACAACGTTCCCAAAACTAAATCTACCTCTTAGAAATACTATCTTAATTTTTGTGTTTAAAACCGAAATATTATTTTTATTATATTATATGTGAAATATAATATTACTTAAGTTCTTAATTCAATAAAGCTAGGGAAACCTGCACCGAAATTTTGTACCGGCCTACGTGTAATAAGTTTCTGATTTTTTTAACAATTTTTTTCTAGTGAACGGCCGTCCATCAAATTTGGACGACCGTTCACTCACATGGACGTCCGTCCATATTATATGGACGGGCGTCCATATACAAGGGACGGGTGTCCCCATATAAAGGACGGCCGTCCCTCATTAAAATACAATAAAAAAAAATTTATAAACATTAGGACGGCCGTCCATTACATTTGGACGGGCGTCGTCCCTTATGTTTGGACGGTCGTCCATCCCTGATGGACGACCGTCCATAGTATTCCTTTTTTTTTTTTTAATTTTTTTTTTTCTAAAAACTAGCTTCTCCTAAGTGGCTCTGAAATCAGTCAGGCCGCCTTTAATCCCTACGGAGGATGAACAGAAGAAGCAAGAAGAAGGCTTCTTTGGATCCTTTGCAAAGCTTTTTGTCAACACTGAATCATCTGCTATGGAAATTTTGAGAGGAATATTTCCAGGTTTTAGGAAGAAGCCACTGAACCATCAATATCAAAGCCTATACCAGCACCCTCAACATATACCAGCACCCTCAACAGCAAAAGTACTCAACTGCTTGGCTTGTACAAGACAGCTTTGTGATCCCAGATGAGGACGAGCCACCTTCCATTGATACAAGAACTCCCACTCCACGAAAAACTTATGCTTTCATGTCCAAGGATGCAGAAAAGATCCAGCAACTGCGGCAAAGTCAGCTACTTAATGGATGGGATGGTATTAAGGCAAAGTCGAGCTAATAATAATAATATAATATAATAATAAATAATAATAATAATGTATTCTTGTCTTAATCAGTATTGAGTATGGAGATGTACAGGTCCATCATATCTACTGCATTTACTCAAAGTCTGATTATTAAAAGTCGTGGGCAGTTATTAGATGACAGAGAAGAAGAAGAAGAAGAAGAAGAGAGCGAAATGTAGAAGGTGAGCATTATTTTTTTTTTTTTTTTTTTTTTTTTTTTTTTTTTTTAAGTATGGACGCCCGTCCAAACGTTTTGGACGGCGTCCCAAATGTTTATAAAAAATTTTATTGTATTTTCATTTAGGGACTGGCCGGGTCCTTTACATGGGGACGCCCTTCCCTTATATATGGACACCCGTCCATATAATATGGACGGGCGTCCATGTGAGTGAACGGCCGTCCAAATTTGATAGACGGCCGTTCACTAGAAAAAAATTGTTAAAAAAATCAGAAACGTGTTACACGTAGGTCGATACAAAATTTCAGTGCAGATTTTTCGGTGTCCCTAATTTTATTGGTTCTTAATTACCTTGAAAATTTCAAAGAAATGATAGACGGCCACGTAAACTCAATCCACACCACTAACATAAACGAGTGGTGTAATTATTCATTACAAAACTACAGAATCATGATGGTTCATCCAACGGTAGATGACGATCCACATCCATGTTATCCAATCCCAGACTCTCACCGTATAAAAATCCAAACATATAAATTCTCTTCGTTGAATCTTATCAAACATGGCAAATCTTCCTCGTCCAACGCTGCACCACAGGCTCCCACTCTTTGGTGCTCTTTCTTCTGCTTCAGTCTCTACTTTTTCGTGTTCTACTTCTGTTTCGAGTCTTTCCAAAGCGCTGAACAAGTGTGGCATTGGAATTAGAGCGCCTCGCCGTCTGGTGTTGGGTCTGGGAGCCGCATGTTGGACTCAGTTTTTTAGTATGGCGAGTAATGTTGCCTCCAAATCTTTCATTGCTTCTGCAAGGCAAAAGGGTGCTGTTGAAGAGGTAAAGTTTTCATCTTTAATTGCTGTTAGCAACAAGAATTCTTTTGTTGGTTATTGAATTGTGATATATTATTGTATTGGTGCATTCTTGATGAAATATGATGGGATAGTCTTGGAATTCAATTAATTGAGCTTCTGATAATGTAGCAATTGAATCATCTATTCAGTGATCGTTTTGGTTCAAATTAGTTGGGTGCGTCATGTATGTTATGTGCTCTTGTGTTTGAGTGGGAAGTCGTTGGCAGTAATTGACTTGGTGGAATATGGCTCACTGCAGTTACATTCTTGTAACTAATGTGTTTGGTCTTAAATCTAATAGATATTCTTAGATTTTTGAGAATTTTGAGGCCATATGTAAGTATACGGTACCATTATTTCAATAATTCATTTCACTTTCATCTCATAGATATTGAAGAATGTTGAGTGGCCAGAGCAATTCCCTTTCAAGGAGGAGGATTTTCAGCGCTTTGATGAGTAAAGGCTCTATACTTTATTTTCTTGCTTGAATTAAACTCTATATCAGGGACAATGCAAGCTGCTCATCTAAATGGCCACCATTTTAGCTGAAACTTCATAATATCTATTTGTAGTTTCAATTGTTACGAATCCCGTCACTGCAAGCTTATATACAGTGTTTGAGTTTTCTATATCTGAAATACAATAATTGATAATTTCAGGACACCTGATTCAATTTTCTATGAAGCTCCTCGATTTGTGACACACATTGATGATCCAGCCATTGCTGCATTGACTAAATACTATTCAGAGGTTTTACCTCCTAGCAATACTCCAGGAACAAGCATTCTAGATATGTGTAGTAGTTGGGTAAGACATATTTATCTGTATGACAGTGCCATTCCATGGTGCATCTTATATTATCATAACCCTCACTCTTGGCTTCACATTTAGGTGAGCCATTATCCACCAGGGTACAAACAAGATCGTATAGTTGGAATGGGCATGAATGAAGAAGAGCTCAAACGGAATCCAGTAAGTTTTTACTTTAATTGGTTATGATGTCTTTTTGTTAATTTTTACTGTAGATATTTCATTTAACTGACCTATAATTCGACGTTCAAAAATCCAAAATTTGTTACCGCTTTGGCCGATTTTAGCAATTGCAATTTTATTAACTTAATCAAATCTTGATTAGGGTTCCTCCTTCAAAATTGTTATTGGTTGGATAGTGGTTGTCTCCTTCAGTTATTTCCCAACAAAATATTAAACAAGGAAAGGCTAGTATTTTTTGCAGGCATTATTTTGTTTCCTGTAGATCAGTACGATCAGCATAACTTCATAGGTATCATGTATCACGAGACAAATAAGGAAAAAGTATGAGCATGTAAATAATGACAAATTGACACCCCTCATTCAACTGGTTGAGTTGAAACCTTTGTCTATATGACGCTACTATACTGGACATCATAATCATGGACTAATTTGCACACATATTGGTATATGGCCATTATATTGATGAGGTAAAGACATTCAATGTTTTGAATTATGTCTCTACAGGTTTTGACTGAGTATGCTGTTCAAGACATAAATTCAAATCCTAAACTTCCGTTTGAAGATGATTCCTTTGACATCATTACTAATGTGGTATGTACATCTTTTACATCTCAAGAATATTTCATTGTTTTTTCATGTAAATATTACTAGTGTATGCTTTCCTAATACTGCTGAACAAATTCTTACCAAAATATTAGGACACATCTGAATTAATATGTTCTTTTTCCCACACATTTGTGTATTACTTGTCATTATATTTTAAGCTTCAGCTGGTTACGGCTTAGAATCGCTTGACATGTCACAAGTGAGTAGACTGATGACATCTAAACTAAACTGCGGCCCACTAGGTTGTAAGATAGGCTTCTTCTTAAGAATAAGAGATTTGCGTGTACTGACAGAAGAATTACTTATACAGATACTCTCTCATGTGAGATTACGACAATAAGGCATAAGCCACCATCCTATTTGTGAATTTGGTGGCTCAAAGTACTGAAATGACTGGTATACAATCTGAAGTTGTCAGATCTGCTAAAGATCTAGGCATCATTATAAATCTGTATGTCTTTTTTCAATATGAAATGAAATTATACAAGATAACGATGTTTTGAAGTCAGAACTAATTTGATTTACCTCCTATGTCATAACTGGTAACTTGAGTATTATCAACCTGCTATGTTTTGGAGCTGTTTTTGTTTTTATGTGTCTTATTGAACATTGTGATGGAAATCTCAGCCAGAACTATGCTGCTAACATTATACTTTCAAATATTTAATGATGGAAATTTTTTGGATAATTCATAAGCTAATGTACCAGTGAAGAAAGTCATGTTTTTAAATGCTCATATATTAGGTTTTTAAATCTCACAGGTCAGTGTTGATTATCTGACAAAGCCAATTGAAGTTTTCAAAGAAATGGGCCGGATTCTTAAGCCTGGTGGATTGGCTATAATGAGGTGGTATTTTTGTCCTTAATTGAGAATCGTTTTAAGTTTAACTTCAGACCTTTTGTAATCTATACCTGATATTGTGAAGCAATTCTCTGATTTTTATGATATACACGCACACAAGCTTTTGATGTAACTCTGAAAGTATTACTACAGCTCATTTTTATTTTTTATTTTTGTTTGAAATCTCCAATGTCTATTCTATGTCCAACAATTTTTTACTAATGTAATATGCTTATAACCCAGCTTTTCCAATCGTTGCTTTTGGACAAAAGCTATCTCAATATGGACGTCAACAGGCGATGCTGACCACGTCATGATTGTTGGGTCCTATTTCCATTATGCTGGAGGATTTGAACCTCCTCAGGTAATTGATTTCTTGAGTACTTTGACAAGTGTAGTAGCTGTTGACATAACCTGATAACTCTAAAGTTCTTCATTTTGTTATAATTGCAATTCGTCCTTCGCCGTTCTGATCAGCTAATTTCTGAAAGGTCTGGTTTTTCTGTTGGTCTTTTAGAGTTTTATTTACTCTTACTTTCCCTAAATTTAGACTTGCTTAACCTTTAATACTTGTGTTGGAAGTGGTCTGAATACCAGGGATATGAATATGTGACCAAGTGTGCCTATATCATCCTAAGATTGGGCAGTTTAACCTTTGCTGTTTGGAATCAACTGATGTACACAGCATTGATAAGCGACAGTCGTCTAAATTTAGACAAGCTATATTTATATATGAATGTATGCACATGCTTTCAAGTGCACACTACAATTAGTAAAGAGAGTCTAAATCAACTAATTTGCCTTTTTTTGCAGGCTGTGGACATTTCTCCCAATCCAGGACGCACGGACCCCATGTATATTGTTTACTCTAGAAAGGCATCTACGGCTTAATTCAACAAATTTCAGGACTGGCATTCTCATTTCTCTGTTGGCCAGGTCCTAATGTGATCAACTGGAAAGCCAAAGGTCCCAAAGGGTTTGTGGAAGAAACAGATGGATTGAGGTACACGAGATTTTTGTTTTTCATAACCACTAATCGGGCTTGGTGATCAAATACACACTTACCTCACTTTTGTACATTGTAATTAGTGTACTGTGCTATTTCACCATTGTATGCAACTTTGCAAAAGTGTATCCATGGGAGACTAAAACAGCATACCATATTTACTTTTGCGGGTTTCTGTAAGGGGAAGAGCAGAATCTATGAATTCTTTATTAGTTACTGTCTTCTGTTGTCAACAAAGTTCTTTATTATGCATATAATTAAGTAATCATATTATTTTCTTTTAAGAACATCGAAAACAGCTTGTTCCCACTCCAATGCACCACCCATAACAGTGTTGCAGTTTTTGTATTACAATCAGAAACGATCGTGGAAGGAATGAAGCATCGAAAAGCGCCTGTTTCTTCTTGATCGGTCGGTGAGGTCGGTGCCTTTTCTATTAAATACTCATTAAGAAATTTTTGTGGGGCACCATGGTCTAAAAACTACCTCCTCACTCCCCTCCACCACCCCCTCTCTTTATGTGTGTGTGCAAGCACACGCGGGTGCAAATTGTTTGCAACAAATTGCTAATCTGTAAAAAGCATTCTTCACTCCAAGAAGCCACAATGACCACTGATCTTCTACGGAAGAATCTAAAGTTGAAAAGCTGATAAGATTCTCTGCTCGTTTTAACAATATGAAAATTCAATTCCAAAAGTCTGTCCATACATTCTAGATAGAGCAGAATAAGGGAATATAAATATATTTACACTAGTGACAAAGACACTTTCTTTCTTGAGAGGATAAGAAACAAAAACTGACAAAAACCATCAAACTGACAAGTGGGTTGTGTTTGGACAAGCGTTTTAAGACCAACCCTGTTTGTATCTGCGGAAGAGGTCTTCAGTTTGGGCATTTTTGAAGGCACTGCAGGCAATCAGATAAACCCATATCAGTACAACAACTGCAACAATCAGAATGATATTGGCTTTCCTCCATTCTTTTCTCAGGTTCCCCAACAGACCGGCTTTGCAGGAATTGCAATTGTAGCAGAGTTGGGTTTGGTCATTGTTCCACAAATAGCAGTCTGGATCAGCCATTGGATTCACTGGGTTTAGCCACAATGTTGGGTTCACATAACTGAAACCACAAACCGTTGGAGGCTTACAACATCCTGACTGTTTCACAACAAAATCAAACCTTTAATCCCAGAAAAAAACAGTAAAAAGAACTGCTAAAAAAAGGGGAAAAATATTAAAAGCACCCCACCAAACTATGTCTTTATATACACGCCAAAGCTGGCAACCATAACTAGCAATTTCATCTTTTGCAATAAAGACAAAGCAATAACCTTAATTATTGACTCGTTGATTACTTTAACTCGGGCTAAATTTTATAATCTTCTTGAGTTCTGATAATAAATGAGTGGGTAGTTACTCACTCTATTGGCACAAACTTTCCTGGCCTCGTGATGGAAGGGTACAAAATTTCATCTTCTTAGATAATTGCATATACCCCACAACGAATGATATCTGATATTGTGATTTCTTCTTAAATCATGCTGAGTTAAGCTATCATCAATAAAGTTTTTACTGGGAAAAAAAAAAGGGGCAAGTGGCCTAGCTAATTAAATTACATGTACCACACAGCATGTCAGCATGTGAGGCTTGTTGTCCTCAAATTTAAAAAAAAAATGATGCCCACATAATGGTAGGCACTAATACAATTTTTTTAAGGAAGAAGTGGGTCCTGCGTTTGGACAACTATCTAGTCCTGTCTTCTCCAGTGAGTTCCCGAAATCAGTCGATGTTCGTCTGATCTGTATCAAATCACCAGGAGAAGGAATCATGTTCGTTTACCCCCTAAGTCGTGATGGCAACCAATGGAAATGCGCCACATTCATCAAGATATTAACTTCGTTTGTTAGAACAGTACATTAATTTATGGGGAAGTCAGAAGGGAATATGCACGCCATAGAAATTGGAAGTCTGTATTTTGGAAATTAATGCTAAATCATGGTTGAAAATTTCTAAAACTGAATTAGAGTAAAGAGAAAGTGATGTTGGGTTGTTGGAATTATACATAACGTAAAAAAAATGAAAGGAACAATAGATAGAGAAGTTAAACAAACCTGAAGAGGAGAGATATGAGCACTAAAGAACTGATCGGGGGTGATGTATTCTTGGTTTAGTTTAGGACAAACATCGGTTTCACTGAGACAAGCTCGAATCTTGTTCCAATTCTTGGAGTCAACAACGTGATCCCTCAACCATCTGGAGAACCCATCAAGCCTGTACTCCCTGTAGCCTCTCCCGGGGACGGCATAGCTACCGTCAGGTCTCGTTACAACGAAGGCAAAAACAAGGAGAATGAGGAGGAGGGCAATCAGTATGGCCATGCAGCAGAGATAGAAGGCCAAAAGAGTCTCCTTGTACCAGTAGGCTCCAACGAAGCCACAGAGGGAGACGAAGAGGATGAGGAAACCGAGGATGACAACCAGCCAGCGAAAGAGATGGATGCACTCATTGTCAGGCTTGGAGGCTAACCAGATGCCGGAAGCTATGATGGGGATGGAACATAAAAACGCTATGAAGTTTAGAACTGCAGTTATGTTGTTGGCTACTCCCATGGTAGTGGTGGTGGGTTTCTTTCCAGTTGGTGTGTGTTTGTGGTGTGAAAATGGTGAATTATATAGTTGAAAAGGTAGGTGAGAAACTGGATGAGGGCACTGTGCTCTAGCCTCTAGGTCTGGACACGGATTTTTCAATGACTCAAACTTGTTTTTCATAACCACAAACGGAAGTGATAATTTATAGATAAATATCTTGACTTTAACTGCTTCAATTGAGCCAAGGGCATATTAGGACACCTAGCTTTTTTTTTTTTTTTATGTTACACCTTCACTGGCATAATAATACATCATAGGATAAGATAATTATTTTATTTGGATTATACTTTTAATTTTTTTTTTTTTTACAGATCTTATTTGTTGAAACGTATTTTAATAAAATACTGTTATATTTTCTTTAATATCTTATTCAAATCCAAATTATATTACAAATATTCTTTTTTTTTTTTTCACCGGGTGACATAATTGTAAAAAAACAAAAGAATGTTCTATGAGTTTCTAAATTTTGAATCCTCTTAGACGCTAATAGATGTGGTCACTTATTGAGATTCTTACCCAATCGCTAATTCCAATGCCTTATAGAATTAATTAAGGTATGCACAAACTGGCTAAACATCTTCGGTAATAAAAAACTATATTAAAAATGTTGAAAATTGATTTTAACATACAAATCAAAGGCCTTGCAAATGTATAAACATATAACCATTTTCGCTCATAAAAAAAGAATCTTGGTAATTGCTTTAATACTTCCGATTCCGTGGAAGTATAGATTAGGCTGATATGGGAATTTTATATACTTTATTTGGCCATCAAGTTGATGATAGAGACTATATACACTACTATAAAGACATGAGAATATTAAATAAAGGGATACATAAGATAGATATACATATACAAGTCAGAAGACTTGATATGAATTCCACATGCTTTTATTAGCTAACATGTCCACTTCTTTTGCATACTAATACCATATGTCACATTTTATCATTTATGAACATATAATGTGCTATCATCCCATAATAATTGACTATTAACGGATTTTCATATCCCAATCCTGTTTAATAGTCGAACAATGTTGAATTGATTGAATCCTTGATGGTTTTCACTATCAACATGTTATCTATTTTATTTTTTATTATTATTATTTTGTATTTCTAAAAAAGAAAATATTCTCATAGATATATGTATCTTTCCTATAAAGTATAAACAATGGCTCCGTTTGGTTCACAATTTTGTGTTTTTGGGAAAAGTTTTTTGAAAAAAGTTAAAAAATTAGTTGAATTGGGCGGGTATTACGATGTAGGATTTACAAATTGATAAAATACCCCCTATGTTTGTTTTTTTACAAAACACCCCTTATAATAAAACATTAAAAATTAACAAAAACACCCCCAATCCACCCTCAAATACGGATAGCCGGCCACCACCGCCGGAGGGTGGCCGGAGTCGCCGTAACAAAAACATTAAAAATATTTAGGGGTATTTAATTGAATTAACAAATTTATGGGGTTTAAAAAATGTTGAATAAAGTTGAATAATATTATGAGTTTTTTGGTATTTTACTGTTTAACTTTTTTGGAAATACTAAAAGTAGTATTCCCAATTTTGAACCAAACGAAGCCAATGTGTTTGCATAAATATTTAGAGTGTTTTTTTAAAATAAACTGTATTTTTGCATAATACTGTTAATAATCAGCCATATAATTTTACTAATATAATGTTGTGTATTGTTATGCATGAAAAAGTAGGGCTGACGTAAAACCCAATCAACATTAAAAGTCAGAGCTTAGGTAGGTCCGCAACCAGTCAGATGCAGCCACATCACATGATGACATGAACAGCATACTCCTGTTAAGGTAGTGGGTGCGCGTCAGACCAGCCAGGAGCTAGAGTGATTTCACGTGTCTAATCCCTACACCAAATCGCGTAAATCATTCTAGAAGGTGGACAATGGGACATAAAAAAAGATTTGCACGGATAATCCCATCAACTCACAAATTTAGTAATCATAACCTTAAACCATCTCACTATAAATTGAGAGCTCCTCTCTCATTTGGGGGATTAGCTAATCTCTCTAAAGAAAAATAGCATTCTCTCTCTCTCTCTCTCTCGTGTAATCATTTGTAAGTCAGCTCACTAAATATGACCTGGTCACTATTATTAATACAAAATCAGTGGACATAGGACTTGCTTCCTTGAGCATCCGAACCACTTTAAACACTGTTCTTCATTGTTTTTACTCTCACTCTCTCATCCACGTGTGTCTTCTGGGCCAGCTCAGCATTTCGCACGTGCGTTTGGTTGGTGTCAAAATCACGCATCAACATGCATCTTAACTTTCTTTAGTGAATGTTTGGGTTAGAATTTATCAATTTACATACGGTTTTTAATTAAAACTTTAGTAAAAAAATATAAATTACAATTTCTTAACTAATAAAAGTAATATTTGTATTAAAAAAAAATATTACAGTCAAACGTTTCGAATAAAAACACCTTTTGTAAAGCCTTTAAATTTTCTCTAATGAAGTACTGCAAAACAGAAGCCATATTTGGTGACGTCGCGCATGTGTCACCGAGAAAGCCGCGGCTTCGTCGGTGCCATCGCCATGTGGCATGTGGTCTCGTCTTTCTTTTTTACCCTCCCAAAAGGCGCTAATTGCTTAAATTCCCCAACCGCTACCCCAATTATAACACTCTATTGTTTGGCTACAAGTTTTATGCTAACCTTCCCCCACCCGCACAAATTTTCCCGCGTTTTCCAGAACTTGAAAAAGCAATTCCTCACTCTCCCAGTGAGAAGGAATATGGAGTCATGGCTCCCGCTCATGGACATTTTTCTCAACAACCCAACACCAGAAGTGGAAGCATCTCTATGGCTACAACAATCTTTCAGTGCCACGTCGTCGTCGTCAACCTCAACCCCAATCACTACTAGCTCTTTTATTTCTTTGCTCACAAAACCCTGCAATGTCACTATCAACGATTCATCCTCTTCTCCCACCACGAAAACGTGAACCCAGAACGTGATTTAGTTTAATTCTTCGGTGTTTTATTTTTCTTGCTTATTTTTACTGATTGTGGTTTTTGAATTACAGGGTTATGTTTATAGAGACTTTACCGGGTTTCGTACAGTCCAGGATTTTATCGTTTCTTGCTTTTGAGAATAAGAGATTTAATGCACGTGAGTTGTGTGGGTTGGCCAGGGATGTAATGAGTGGAGGTGGGGGGAGTGATTTTTGGGTTAAGAGAACTGCACGCCATCTGTTTGACGCGGTGTCTGACTCGAACTATGAGTGGATTTCTGGCTTGAGTTTGGATTCTGAGGATCAAAAATTTGATGAAGAGTTTGAGTCTGTTCCGTCTTGGCTTAAGGGCTCTTTGAGTAGTAACGATGATTTGCTTTTCCCTTGGCTTCCTATATCGCTTAATGAATTGAATTCAAGAACCTTTTTCACTGCTTGTGAAGATGAGAATGATGAGGATTCAGTGAGTGAAGTGAGAGAGAGTTTAGAGAATGAATTGAATGAAGTTGTGGAGGAAATCCAGGATGATTGTCCTACACATGTTTGTACAGAAGGTGAGATCGGAAAAGTGGCAACAGATTTAAGCGAGCGGCTTAGGAATTTCGAATCTAGTTATAAAACTGTAGCTTTAGCCAATGAAATACAACAACTTTGTTTGGAAAAAGGAGGAGACTCTTTTAAGGTTTTGGGTTTGATTAAACCTTGGAAAGCAGATGATGAGACTGCTTCGGTTCTGATTTCTCATTTTTCAAGTGGAAGTGAAGACGAACTTGCTTGGCCAAGCCAGGTTCTTTGCTCAGTTGTCCTTCCTAAGTTATTGGTTCTTGAGGAGCCCGCTTCTCGTGTGCTTGTGAGTGCATTGATAGAGTACTGCAAGATCCATCAGAGAGCTGCTGAGTATGCATTAGTTTTTCCTCTAATATTGCGAAGAGAAGGTATCAACAACCCTATTTGCGATGTAATAACAAGAATTTTAAGGGAATGCCTGCACCCAGCTCATGTTTCAGCCTTCTGCCAGAAACTGCTTTATGGAGGAGAAGATGAGAACAGATTCATCTGTCTTCCATCCCACCAATGTCTTATCTCTGATGAACTGGTATGGACAGAATCCTTGTTTACTCTTTTCCAAAATATCTTGAATCATAATGTTCATTTTACTCAGGATTCGATTGATCATATTGTTTTCCGGGTTGTGGAATTGACTGAAAGGTTTTTCAAATCTCTTAAGTTTGGAAACTTTTTGTTATGTTTGGTCACCAAATGTGCCCCACTGTTGAAGTCTCATAAGCTTTTATTGATCGAAGTCGTTGAGCACACAAATACGATTGTTACCAAATCTATATTATCAAAATTGGCTAGCTTTTAGCAGTTGTACTTTTCAGATCATTCTTGTTGATGTGAGTTTGAATCAGTCTTTGGGAACATACAGTTTGCACAATCTGCAAGCTCTCATTAGAAAAGTTAACATTGATATAATTGTTTGGATCATTTCTTGGGTGTTGCTACGTAGGTTGTGCTCTGGAAACATTTGAAAAGTTTTAATTTTCATTGATGAGTTATTAGGGCCTTGTTGGCTATATTCTGTTTAGATTAATAGTTAACCTAATAATATTCAGAGAGTTAGTCAATGCTGCTGTCAGCCTGTCACTGGTGTGTATAACCATTTAGTCATTTTTGTCTCCCTAGTGGCTTATGATATTTCTTCTTACCAACAAAATTTAGGAAGCAAAGAATAAATATGGGTTTCTGTGATGAGCGAGTTTTCTCAATTTCTGGAAGACTGAACTCAAACGTGTCCCGAAAAGCCCAATAACTCATTCACCTCATTAATAATAATATATATATATATGGATTGTTTCCAAATGATCTTATTTTAATATTTTTATTTCTTTAGATTTTATATATATCTCAACATTTAAGACGTAAGGCAACAGATAAGATGCAATTGCTTAGGAAGAAATATGATTTGCATATGCAAGAAAATATTCACTCAAATCATGGATTTACTATGTTAGGTAAATTGAATGAGCTTATGGTGCTGTGAACTATATAAGAATAAATGGCCATGTGGTTTCCTTGGTTATCTTTTGTAAACTACAAAAGTATGCTA